CACCAAAGTGTCGTGATGACACCTAACCTTCAAGCCTAGGTAAGCCAATCACATTAACAACATTAAACTATCAAGACATGATATAATAAGTTTGATTTATCATAAACAACGAAAATAGTTATAAACATAAGCCGGAACAACAATACATAATACAATACAACTCCCAAAATCAGATAATACAAAGTCATGAGCTCTGAATACATAAGGAATTTCAAAATTACAATATTGTCTGCAAGTAATAGTATACAAATGTGGGAAGGGGACTCCAAAGGTCTGCGACGTCCATGTAGTACTACCTTGAATCCTCTCAAACAGACACAAGCTCGCTCTCGAAGCCCGCTACCTCCAGCACCCGGATTTGTACAAAAACGTGCAAAAGTGTAGTATGAGTACGGGACAACATGTACTCAGTAATTATCAAGACTAACTTCGGTGTAGTAGTGACGAGGTTAAAGCCATTTGATACTCACTAATCAAAGAACCTGTGCAGTATATCCAATAACTGGTAACAAGAATATAACAAGATACAATACCGAAGCTCAACAAAACAGGAGATATCAACTCAACATAGGTAAAATCATCCGGACTAGCAAAATCTTCAAATGATAACAGAGACATAGAATAGCATGTTAAATACAAGTGGAAACATGTCTAAATGCATGACAAAACATAAAAAACGCATATGCATGATCAGGAATGCCATCGTTATACCGCCACATGAATATCAACAGTGAAATGCCACCCTTATACTCCGCACAACAACAGTGAAATGCCACCCTTATACTCCACGCATCACAATTATTCACAACAATCATGATACTACAGTACGCATGTACACCATCAAGAGAGAAACATGAGAGGGTGACTATAGGGGGATGGATCTGTATCCATACGTTGCACGACAACAACCTCGTGCATAACAATAATCACAATTCGCACGGCCAAAACCTCTTGCCACAATATCATCACAATCCCACGACAAAGACCTCGTGCCATAATATCATCACAATCGCACGACAAAGTTCTCGTGCCAACACCCAGTCAATCCGCCCAACATGTCCACATGTGCCATGATCATAACATTGCAATATGCCAAATTATCATCAAAAGACTTATGCTCGTAATTCGTCAACAAGGTGCACAAGGACATGATAATATAACGATGCGGATGAATGTTCAACATATAAAGCATGACTTCAGCTAGATCAATTGTAGCAACTAGGTTCATTTAGTCATAGAATGATTAAACATGTTTCATATAAAGCATGTCATCAAAATAAGGCATATTAGAAGCCTAAGGTCTAATCCAGTCAAACTACACATAGCTCCAAGGGTTTGCAGCGTCCATGTAGTACTACCTTGAGTCCTCTCGAACAAACACAAGCTCACTCTCGAAGCCCGCTATCTCCAGCACCCGGATTTGCCCAAAAAAACTCGCAAAAGTGTAGTATGAGTACGGGACAACATGTACTCAATAAGTATTAAGACTAACTTCGGTGAAGTAGTGACGAGGTTCAAGTCATTTGATACTCACTAATCAAAGAACCTGTGCAGTATATCCAATAACCGACAACAAGAATATAACAAGATACAATACTGAAGCTCAACAAAACAGGAGATATCAACTCAACATAGATAGAATCATCCTGACTAACAAAATCTTCAAATGATAACAGAGGTATAGAATAACATGTTAAATATAAGTGGAAACATGTCTAAATGCATGACAAAGCATAAAAAACGCATGTGCATGATCAGGAATGCCACCCTTATACCGCCACACATCACCAACAATGAAATGTCACCCTTATACTCCACACAACAACAGTGAAATGCCACCCTTGTACTCCACACATCACAATCAATCACAACAATCATGATACCACAATTCTCATGTACACCATCACGAGAGAAACATGAGAGGGCGACTATAGGGGGATGGATCTGTATCCACGTTGCACGGCAACAACCTCATGCATAACAATAATCACAATTCGCACGGCCAAAACCTCGTGCCACAATATCATCACAATCCCACGACAAAGACCTCGTGCCACAATATCATCACAATCGCATGGCAAAGATCTCGTGCCAACACCCAATCAATCTGCCCAACATGACCACATGTGCCATGATCATAACATTGCAATATGCCAAATTATCATCAAAAGACATATGCTCATAATTCGTGAACAAGGTGCACAAGGACATGATAATATAACGATGTGGATGAGTGTTCAACATATAAAGCACGACTTCAGCTAAATCAATTGTAGCAACTAGGTTCATTTAGTCATAGAATGATTAAACATGTTTCATATAAAGCATGCCATCAAAACAAGGCATATTAGAAGCCTAAGGTCTAATCCAGTCAAATCACATATAGCACCCGTGTACATGCTCGTCACCTCGCGTACACGTTGCTTTACACGTAACACAATTAGGCAAATAAGGCTAAATCCTTAGGGTTATTCCCTCACACAAAGTTAAGCAAGATACTTACCTTAATAAGTCCAAATCAACCCTAAAAATAGCCTTTCCCTTAAAAATCACCTATGTCCGGCTCAATTCTAGCCAAAAACAACTCAATAGCATCAAACATTGCTATAGGAATCAATTCCAAAAATAAAGTTTCAATCTTTACCTAATTTCCAAAAAGTCAACAAAAGTGAACCCCGGGCCAACACGGTCAAATTCTGAGTCAAAGGATAGATTCCGACTAGCCATAACCACACGTGTCCAAATATGTAATTAGGTTCCAAAACTGAGTCCAAATCGACTACCAAATTCTATTTTCATTTTTGCAAAACATAGTCAAGACCCCCCAATATTCTCTTCCAAATCCCATAATCTAGGTGTAATTATCTATAGGAAAACAAGATATAATATCAAAATTAAGTAGAAATCACTTGCCCCAAAGCGTTGTGTGGAAATTCTCTTAAAAAATCAGCCATCTCCAAGTCTAGGGTTCAAAACATGAGATAATGGGTCTAAAGTCCCGAAATTCTTCCAATATAGTCAGCTGCAGAAGTTGTAAATGGGACCAGGGGTTCGCAACTGCGAACCTCGCAAATGCAAGCTGGCTCCCTCAGCTTCAGTTCTCGCAAATGCGACCAAGTGTCGCAAATGCAATACTCCCTTCACAAATGCAGATGTCGCAATTGCGATACTAATTTCGCAAATACGAACTGGCCTTCTCAGGCACCCATCGCAAATGCGATCAAGACTTCGCAATTGTGGACCTTCGCAATTGCGATGTCTGCAGCACCTGCATACCTAAGCTTTCCAAAACCAATCCGATACTTGCCCGAGCCCCTCGGGCCCCACCAAACATCCACACAAGTATATAAACCTCATACGAACTCACTCATGAGCTCAAAACATCAAAATAGCATCCATAACCAAGAATTAAACACCAAAACACACCATACAAGCCTTCAAGTTCAAGAATTTCAAATTTCACAACCAAGCGTTCGATTCATATCAAACCAACTTGGAATGAAACTAAACACAAGTTCCAAATGACGAAATAGACCTATTCCAAGTCCCGGAATGACAATTCGAACCCAATAACCTCAAAGTCAACTCAAGATCAAACTTGTGAACTTTCTAAACCTTCAAAATTGCCAACTTCGGCAATTAGAGCTAAATCATTCTAGGAACCTCCAAATACAATCTGGACATATGCCTAAGTCCAAAGTCACTGTACGGACCTATTGGAACCATCAAAACACGAATCCGAGATCGTTTACACAAAAGTCTTATAACTTAAGCTTCCAAAAAGGGAACTAAGTGTTCCAATTCACTCCGAAACCTCCCCGGAACCAAACCAACCATCCCTGCAAGTCACAAAACAACCTAACGGGAAGCATCAAATGTGGAAACGAGTGGCCGGATCGTTGCAAATCGTTCCACCGGACAAGCATCCAAAAAGTGCTTCTTACATCAGAACCTTATGCACTGAAATGAGAAAATTGTTTTATATTTCTAGGAATTACATTCACTATCCAAACATAGAATTGACAGCATTTGATCAGGATTTATTGTTCGACGAATTAATTTACATTCTTGTCGCTGTAGAAATAGGCTTAAGTTACTCTATAGACTGAAAACACTAACTTATACCATAACAATAACAAATCCAGTTTAATCTCATAAGTGGGCCCGGGGAGGGTAGTGTATACGCAGACCTTACCCCTACCCTATAAAGGTAGAGAGACTGTTTTCGATAGACCCTCGGCTCAAGTAACAGTAAAAATAAATTAACAAGCAATAGCAACAGCAATGTAATAGGGTAATGAAAGCGAATGACACAACAAATAATAAAGAACCAGGAATAACCTATAATGATAGAAAATCCTGGCTTTTCCCGAAAGAAGTTTGACGTTGGTTGTCTAAGGCAGCTAGACTTCTAGAGAGGAGGAGAGCTCTCTTTTCACACTTTGTCCATCTCTGTCTTCTGTAAAATAGATGCCTATAATCTTTTCTCTGATAGTTGCTTAAGGCATGTTAAATACTGTTGCCATTCTAATTAGAGATGTCTTGCCTGTATTTCTATTGAACAAAAAAGAGTTTAGCACCATGATTCATGATATCTAGGCATGTACTCAGAATACATATTCTTATTTCTAAGTTTAGTAGACAAGATGTGGAGTAAGAGCTATTTACTTGCACTAGATTGGATAATGTAAAATTGCTCTTAGAGGTGTAAAAGTTGATCTCATAGTGTATCATTAATATTCACAAAAATTTCTGTATGCTTTTCAAATGTTGAAATACTAAATGATGGCAAATAATGAAACTTCCATTCCAAAGAGGATCATTTGAAATGCCAATAACAGCATTCAGTAGTACTTACGTTGGAAATGTGGCTAGTTTTTGAGAGACTCAATGAGAGTTGCCTTGTTTTTTAAGTTTCTTTTGTTTCCACTTTCCATGTTGCTTGTTCTTTTGTGAATATGGAGAAATTTTATTTGACAATTGTCTGTTACTAAACACAGCTCATTTATTTGGGGATAATTGGAGCCAGTTACTACTTTATTGTGCAGTCAGCCTTTAAGTACATTCCTGGGTATTACTTAGGTGAAGTGCACAGGTACTGTTGAATCTTTGTGTTTTACGTTTCTCTCATATGCATCAGTTTGTAACTTGACTATCTTTGCAGACTTTTACCATTATCCAAAAAAGAAAAAAAAACGCTTGACTAGTTTGGTGGATAATCGAGATATATGTACTTGAATTCCACAGAGATTACATAAAATTGCAGGTACACGAGCTTGTTGGCAGTTGGAGGGGGTATTCTACTCTTTCTATTGACTAGCTTTTCTGACCCAGGAACTGTAAATATTGAGAATGTTTCGCAGTATCTATCTGCTTATCCCTATGACAATATTATATTCTCAGAAAAGGAATGTCCAACCTGCAAGATTCCAAAGTGAGTGTGTTTCTTCTGTTTAAAGCTCTGATGCTCTAGTTTACGGCTCTAGCTAATTAAACATTATTTCCTCTCCTAGTACAGACCTGCTAGGTCAAAGCACTGCAGCATTTGTGATCGTTGTGTCGCTCGATTTGATCATCATTGTGGATGGATGGTTTGTTATTGTTTCCCCATCTTTCAGATATATACAAGTTAACTCTATATCTACACTATGTTCCCTGTATATGTTCTTATGGTTTTCATACTGTTTCTCAATATCACTGCAGAACAATTGCATAGGCGAGAGAAACACCAGATACTTTATGGCTTTTCTTCTCTGGTGAGCAAATGATACGGATTGGTCTTTCTGTTTAAGGTCTGATCGCATACACGAATTGCTCGCACTACTGCCACCTGCCGGGGCCTGGGACAGGCAGTGGGGTGTATCATGTGCAGTTGCAATATTTTCTTTCTTTTTTTTTTTTAAATAAAAATCTTCCCACTGTTTACTAGTCTTCATGGTAGTAATAGAAAGATGCTGGGAACGGGTAGAGTGAGTTGGGTTCAGAAAAAAGCATGAGAAATAGTTTGAGAAAATGCAATACACATTCATAAAATGATTTCTGAAATAAGGACGGGAGATGTGATTCTCATAGGAAGTCATCATCTGGAGAAATAAGGCTGTAGGAAAACAGGCTTCTGTAACTGCAGATAGCACCATGAGAAGAATGTGTGGTCATTCTGCATTCTTTCAAAATCTAAAATGGTTTTTGTTGCAGTCAACTTCAGATGTTACACAGTGCTTTTGATTGTAGAATAGCGATTAGATAATTGAACTGAGATTTTTGAGTATCTCTCTATTTTTTTTATAAAAAAAACCATTTAGGTCATTGTAATGGTCTTTTTCATCAAAGGCGTGATATGAAACATCTTTTTATCCATGGTACCAACCCTTCAATGCACTGTGAAGAATTGCCCTTTTTGATAGGGGATATTTGCTGTTTACTCTCCCTTTTCACAATGGAAGTTTCTTGGTAATTTTTGCATAATCTTGGAAGGGGATAGGGGATACTCACATTTCTTCCTCCCCCACCCCCACCACAGCAAATGAGACCCCATCACTAGCATATATTATTGGCTAACCTTTGTGGAACTTGATCACTTTTATTGCTACTCCTCCTGGAGAAATACTCATTCAATTGTTGCCATCGTTTGAACTTATTACATATCAGGCAAAAACAGAAAACGTAAATAGCTGTTTCTTCTACAGAAGAGCTTTTTAAGAAACTGAAAAACACACAGAGCAAAAGAGAGAGATACAACATTAGTGGAGAAATGATTCTTTAAACTTGGCTTCTTGAGAGCATTTACTAAAGCTAATCTAGATAAAAATTTCAACAGCTTGTCCTAATTCCTGAACTCATCTGATCTCTTTATTCTTGTTTCAGAAAGTACTTTTTAGTCGTAAGTCATTGTAAAAAAGTTCTGCCAAATAAGAACTTATTAGAGAGAGTTCTTTTTTTGGTATGTTTAATCTTGACACTGCCTTTACTCTTCACTTCACATGCTCGTGAAAAATATGTATGTGAATAACATTAGATTCAACTTTCATTATGAAGGATTTTGTATTTAACACTGTTGACCAAGTTGATGAGAATTTTTACATTGACTATCCTGTAATTTTCAACACGTATCTGCAGGCATTTTCTTCTCTGCTTATATGGGACAGTTGCTATTGGACTAGTGCTAGCTGGCCGACTGAAAGAACTACGGGTTATAGATATTCTTACTGGTACATAGACGACTCCTTTAAATTTTAATGGTGCTCAATTGCATGTTATATTCAAAATGAAAGTTGAATTTCTCTGTTATTGCAGTTTATTATGGCTTCGAGAACTCATTTAGTAGTTTAGCTCCACATGTTGTAGCGGTAAGTGGAATACCTTTTTCGATTCAGCATC